GTTTAAAAAAAATATAATAATAATGCATATATTAATAAGAATTAATATAACCAAGAAACTTATTTTATTGAAATATAAACACAAAAGGAAACAAACTAGGAGAAACCGATGTTTCGATAATAAGATCGAATTCTAAATCGATCCTAACTAAGATATTTATCAATATTTTTATATGACAATTTTAGCTACAAATCCAAGTTTTGAAAACTTATAACTAAGCCAAAAGATCATTGATTTTAATTCGGAAAGCTTTCCTATGTTAGTTTTTGTTAGGATAACAAATCTGCAAACTCAATTTGGGATTTTAAAAAATTAAAATTTTTGACCTTTGTTTTGGCAATTTTAATGATAATCTTAATAAAAAAAAATTGAAAAAAAATTCAATTTTTTTTGTCTGCCAGTGATGGCTAGATAGATTCGCCTGTTGATGCGGATCAAGAATATATATGATTTATAGGGTCGGAAATGATTCCTTCACAGCGTAACTAGCTTCTGACTAAAATTATAATACCCCTGAATGATAGTAAATAGAACTACACAAATAATAAGAAATTATTTTAAAAAAATCTTAAATATAAGCTTAGACGCCTCTTAATAAAGTAAGAAAATTTATAATAGCAAATATATAAAAAAAAAGTGGAAAACATGTATGTTTTTCGATAGAATAGCAATATTTCGCATTTATAATAATTAAAAACTTTGAATTTCTTTCATTTCTATCTTAAAGTACTTCATGAGAACTTTCTCATTATGAGATAAGGAATTTTAGATTATATTTATCATAAATCATTGGAAGTTTAGATACAAAAACAACCAGTTACTTTTAAAAGGTTATTTGTTTATCTATTAACTTGCATTTATTACAAATAATCATAAGAGGAAATGTTAAAAATCAATCAGAAATCGATTTAAAAAAAAGTCTTTTTTAACAAGTTATATACTTAAACTACAACTTTGTAGTTTTAGTCATAATTATAATAACTTTTTGCAGTGCATATTGTGTAGCTTGTATTTTGTATTTGTAGTCAACGTCAAAGGGGCATAAATCACATACCCTATGGAAATGGCATACGAATCGGGGAATGGGGATGCTATATGGGGTATGGAAATGGTGTTAGGGATGAGGATCGGGCTAAGAGGAGAAGCTGCGCCCACACAGACGATGATGATGACGACGACGACGACTGACTTATGGAGTCGGCATATGTGTTTTTGTGGCTTTTTAATAGCTTGCTCGATGGATCGTCGCTCCCTGCCCCAAACTCTGTCTCCTTTTATATGCCCCAACATCAGCATCAGCGTATGTATCTGTATCTGTGAGATGTATCTGCATCCCCCTAACTAAATACCCCTTACATTGTATGCGCAATTGAAATTCCATTCCCTTGAGCTGTCTGAAAGTGAAATTTAGTGTGTCACTTGGCAATTTCTGCTAATTAGAAGTGTTGAAAGTGTTTGCTTTGATATCGAAACGAAAACAAAACTATAAAAAAAGCGACAGAGATACCCTGCCAGGGATATAATTTGTATCTTAAATCTAGTTAACCCCTTGTTGATAACTCTATATCTATACTTGCACCTCAATAATCGATAAATGTGCTGGAATATATGTAATTTGCTTACACCTCTTGTGGGTATATACTACTTACACCTATTAGTTGGCAAATTACTCACACATTGCCAACACGCTAACTGCTAACTACTAACTCTGGCCAGGTAATCAATTACCTGGTGACCCCTTAGACAGCTCTACCAAATAGATTGAGCTGGAAGTTTACAGTGCGGTACAGAGAAAATCAATGAATCAATATAGTTATTGAAAATGATTCATGAGAATTAAGACAAGGCTTAAAGCAAGAGAGAGAGTTTAAGGGTTTAGATAAGTTGGGAAAAAAAATATATATACACAAATATATAGAGTTAAGAATTAATAATAATAATACTAATACTTTTTATAAAATGTATAACAATAATAATAATAATAAAGAAGATATATATATATTTTATATCCCTTATATAATTCTTAAAAATTGAGTACAATTTCCCACGTTATATTATTAATTAACTTATTTAATTCTCAACAACAAATTGAAATATACATTAGTTTTGGAAATCAATAGCTTTTTGGCATTTTAAATGATTAAAAAGTCCAAAAATCTCAGAGTTTTAGGGACTTTTAAATCATTATTCTTATATGATCATTTTGTTGGCCAAATCATAGTTTAAAAACATCATAACTTTGGCAAAAAAGCATTAATTTCAAATCGGAAAGCTTTTCTGTGTTAGTTTTTATTAGGTTTATAAATCTGCATATTCAGTTTAAACATTGAAAAAATTCAAATTTTTACGATTTTTTTGCTATCAATTTTGGCACTTAAAAATGTTGAAAAAATTTAGCAATCATTTTTTCCTCCAAACATGTCTAGATCGATTCGTTTTTTGATGCTGATCAAGAATATATATGATTTATAGGGTCGGAAATGATTCCTTAACGTCTTTTTAAGCTTTTGACTAAAATTAGAATACCTAAAAATTAATAATTATTTTCATTATAATTTTATATATGTAAATATAGTATATTATAAAAAATAATTTAATATCATAAAACCAAGACTTTTTTATACAGAAAAATACTTTAAACATATTTTATTATTTCAAAAACCATTAAAAATATTATTTCAAATATTTCACTTTTAAATAAACTTAGAAAAACACCTTCAGAGACATTTCCCAAACTGAATATACCCTCCTCTTTGTTATAGAGTATCCCATACATACTCTACTCATTTAAAAATCCCAGCTCATTTCCTCAGCTTATATACCCTCCTATTCGTTATAGAGCATCCTTTAAATACTCTCTAATAAAATAGTACTTTTAAAAATATCCCCCTAGCTGATATACCCTCCTCTTCGTTATAGAGTATCCCATAAATACTCTACTCAATAAAAAAATATTGAAAGATATATTTCCCCAGCTGATATACCCTCTTATTCGTTGTAGAGCATCCTATAAATACTCTTCTCATAATACAGTACGTTTAAAAATACTCCCCTAGCTAATATGCCCTCCTCTTCGTTATAGAGTATCCCATAAATACTCTCCCATTTGATTTCCGCTTTCATTTAATTCGATTTACAGACAGACAGACAAGCCCGATGGCGAGACAGATTGCCGCAAAATGGCTAATGGGCTAAATTGTCTAATTGGTTCATTACGTGCACAAATGGATTTGCGCCTCTATAATACGCTCGATTTGAGTCCAAACCCAAATCCAGACACCCGCTAAAAACTCCGCACGAGACATGCAAATGCAAAACGGATTTTGTATTTGAATTCGAAGCCATGCAATTAGCATTTGGCATCAAAATCATATTCAGAGACACACACCGCACACCACACACATCATCACTTGCCAGTTAATGTCAGCTGCCCATCTCATTGCATTTTGTGCCTTTTTTGTTGTTGCATTTATTTTCAGCAAATTAACGCCGCTCGGCGAGATCTGTGCCAATAAATCATTCGCCGCGCAGTCACTCAGTCAGTCAGTCAGTCTTTTTGTCTCACAGATTATATTTGTTTATAGTGCCGGGGTGCCTTTAATTAAACGGAATGGAATCGAAGATCCAAGTTGTTGCCGTCACTCAGAATGTACATATATTTTTTTTATTTTTTGTAAATCACAAGAATGTGTGATTGTGCAATTAGCGGTGGCATCGGTGGCACCCTCGGTGACAAGGCCACATTTACATGATTTAAAGTTCTTTCAAGTCTTTTGATCTTGAGAGAGGTATAACATATATGCCACCCCTTAAGTTTATACAAATGAAACCACCTTTTCTTGTTTAATTTTCCATTATTGTTTTTATTTCTTCTTCACATTTTTTTGTAATTCTTTTTCTTTTAATTTCTTTTCTTTTTTTGTTGAACTTTTTGCTTTAGCACATGGAACATCTTTGTTATTAATTCTGTCTTAGGTGCACTTCTCTTCTACAACTCTCGACTTACAAACTAAAAATACTCTCTTTCATAGCGAATACTTAAAACTAGATTTTAAGCTAGAGGAAACTTTAGTTAAGTTACTTAATTTACAAAGCATAATGTCTATTAGATATATATATATATAGATTTTTATAGTGTAGGAATAATAAATGTGAGAAAGTCGACGAAGCTTTTATGTTTAGAGTGCGGCAATAGCAACAAGCCTAGAAAGTTGGTTATAGCATATAATACTCTCTAAATAAATACGCCAACAACTTGGTACAATTACTTAAAATTAATAATAATTATTATGTTTATTTATGTACAATATGCGCTACAATTATATCACATGAAAAACCATTTTGTACGCCGCCCCCTCGCTTCGATTTATTGCACGCCCCTGGAGATTCCTAGAGAGTCCTTGATATCCCTGGAGATTCCTAGAGAATCCTATAGATTCTTGGAGATTTCTAGAGATTCCTAAAGAATCCTAAAGATTCCAAGACAATCCTAGTGATTCCTTGAGAATCCTATAGATTTTTGAAGATTCCTAAAGAATTCAAGAGAATCCTTGAGAATCCTATAGATTCCTAGAGAATCCTATAGATTCCTAGAGAATCCTATAGATTCCTAGAGATTTCTGAAGATTCTTAGAGATTTCTGAAGATTCCTAGATACACCTGAAGAATAATAGAGAACCCAAGGGAATCCTACAGAATCCCAGGGAATCCTACAGAATCCAAGGGAATCCTAGAGATTCCTATAATTCCTAGAGATTCCTGAAGAATCCTAGAAAATTCAAGAGAATTAAAGAGATTCTTCAAGATTTCTAAAGAATCCTAGAGAATCCTGTAGATTCCTAGAGATTTCTGAAGATTTCCAGAGACTCCTGAAGAATCCTAGATAATCCAAGAGAATCCTATAGATTCCTAGAGATTTCTGAAGAATTCTAGAGAATCCTAGAGATATTTGAAGATCCCTAGAGATCCCTCTTAGCCTCCCCCCCTTAGCCTCCCTCTGCTTAGGGTATCTGGCCATTCATGCGCATCTCCAGCTCCTCCTCCTCCTTGGTCAGCGGCACGGTGGTATGATTATACAGACCCTGGGCCATAAGCTGCAAGGCCAGGGGATTCTTGGAGCCCGTGGATTTCTTGATCTTGGCCCGCTTATTCTGGAACCAGATCTTGATCTGTGCCTCATTCAGGCCCAGTTCGGAGCTCAGCTGCTGGCGACGGCGCTCGGTTAGATAGCGATTCTCATTGAACTCCCGCTGTAAATAGAGAAGAGTATAGAGTTCCGGATGAGTTTTGGATGGATAGATAGAGATTCAGGTAAGTCAAATCAATTATTTGCGGTTTTTTTTTTGTGCAGGGACAAGGCGGACGTGCGTGGCTAATTGGTTAAGTATGGACCAGGACTGGGACTGGGATTGGGACTGGACAGGATGCGGTTGTCAGAGGAGGCCTTTAACGGCGGGCGGTCCGTAAATATTTTGGTGTAAATATCTTTTTGTGACACAGAAATATGACACAACAAGGAGGAGGAGGGAATGTATTTAGGGAAATTTAAGGATATTGAAACTAACCTTGAGGCGGGCCAACTGTTCGCTGGAGAAGGCGGTTCTGGGACGCTTCTCATCGTTGGTCTTATCCTTTGGCTGTTTGGGGCGACGATAGCGGGGTCCTGCAAGCAAAGAAATGGAAAAAAATAAAGGTTAGTCTCTGGAACTTAATATTTGCATAAATAAGCCACACACACTACTATTAATAATATTAATGATTTAATTAGCATATATGTCTGGCATGAAATTCCTGAACTGTAGCTCCCTTTTTCCATATATTCCATATATACTTTGCGTGCTGTCGGGGAAGTGTTCAATTTGTCAGCTGTCAGCAAAGGAGAAGGGTAGAGAAGTCTTCTAACGAACCTAAGGTCTTGGGGCATATTTTAGTCAAATGATTTTCCAGCCCAGCAAGTCTCTAATTAGTGACCAAGTCACAGTCTTCTTCTAATTGGCACAACTCTAGCCGGCTACTTATTAAATGTCCACACATTGTAAATTATAATTTAATTAAAGTGCCAAGTGGCAAAGTGGCAAGATTAATTTCTAGCCTCCGAGTGGATCCCATCAACGCCTCGATTATGGCCTCTGACTATCGATGGCATCGACACCAAATTAAAAAACCATTGAAAGCCATAAAAAAGCACTTAACTCGTCAATTAACACACAGTCTTGTCGAGGAATATCTGAGGGAATGGAAGGAAATCTGGGAATGAAATGAAAGAAGAACTCTTTCTCCTGAGTTTTCCCGGGATTTTCCCCCTTAAGTTCTTCTCTCTCCCCTACCCCATTGCCCTGTCAATCGTCAGCGCATTTTAGGGCTCTCTGCTTCTGCTTCTGATTCTGCTTCTGGCGTGTGTGCGTGACCTGTGACCTTCGGTTGCTGCCACGGATCCTGATCCCTACTCCCACTCCCCTGACCTGGCGGCGATAACCAAACGCTGCCCTAGCGCTACATGTTGTCACATAAAGTGTCGCTCTTCAAAAGGAGCGCTGCACTGCGTGAGGCCCCGAAAGAACTCGAAAAGACTTTTGGAATCGGAATCGGAATTGAAATGAAATGTAGACTCATTGCCATTGTGTCCGCGTGTCTCCTAATTGTTTCAATGTCCTTGGGATTTATGACACAAAACAAAACTCGGCTTGAAAGACAAATGCCGCCAACTATTAGGCTTTCCCCCAGGGGTGGTCCCCAGATTTCTTTACATTTTTCTCTACAGAAAAGGGAGTTCCCTCTTTGGTTAGTTTTTAAAATATAAAAAGTAAGTACTAACCTGAGCTGGGACGATCGCTGTAACGGGTGCAGTACACCCAGGCGGGCCACATCTCATTCTTGCCACCCTCCGTGGTTGTGGAGCCCGTCTCCGAGCGTGTGTCATCCGAGGATTCCATGCCGGAATCCCTGCTCACAGCGGATGGCGGAGGAATGGGCTGGGGCTGTGGACTGCTGGCATTGGCCGCTGATCCATTGACACCCAAGCGGCTGCTGGGCGAGGAGTTCAACGAACTGGCCGCCGAGGAGCAACCCGACGATGAGGATGAGCTCGAACTGGTGGCCGTGGAGGAGGTGCTGCTAATGGTGGAGGCATTCGAGGCGGGCGGTGGACTGGCCAGGCTGCTGGCACTGCTGCTCAGCGGCACCTGTGTCATGGTTGGAGCGGCAGGTTGTCCAATCTGAGAGACGGCCTTGCACAGGGATCCCAGGGCGGATTTCTCTGGATTACTGTCGCTCATCTTGGAGCCCAGCGGAGGGGGAATCACAGAGTTTGCCGCATTCCGGCGCAATCGACTCTGGACAATCTCTTCGTGAATCCGTGGATAGGCGGCGGGATTGAAGCAATTGAGGAAATTGGCTCGCTCTAGCATCATGGCTGCTGTGGCTGCTGCGGCGGCTGCCTGCTGCTGCCGGCTGAATTCCAAGAGATCCACACGGGTGAAGGCAGAGGGCGTGGCTGTCTGAGAGCGACTCGCCGGCTCAAAAGGCCGGAAAATGCCGGCCTGATTCTCCTGCTTGCCCGGTGTGGCCTTCTGGCCATCGCCAAAGCGATCACTGAGGATATTGGAGATGGAAAAGGCCAGCGAAGGCTTGGCCGTCGACTGCTGCTGATGGGCTGGCGGTGGCAAGCGTCCCGCCGCCGTATCATCCACATCCACATCAATGTCATCCTCCTCCTCTGCCTCATCCTCCTCGTTGGTGGTGTGCGTCTGATTGTGGAAACTCAGATCCCCGATGACAGAGTCACTCTCCTCCTCCTTGATGGTCAGCGGTGTGGTGGAGCAGGAGGCTGGCGAACCGCTCCCACTAAGCCTCTGCTGCAGTGCAGCATGGGCATGGGCGGCATGAGCCGCTGCAGCGGCTGCTGCTGCGGCTGCGGCTGCTGCAGCTGCTGCATCAAAAGCCACCGCCGGATGATGGAACACGCCGGCGGCCAGTTGCTGTTGATGCAACTGCTGCAGCTGCTGGAGCTGATGGAGATGCTGCATTTGTTGCTGCTGCTGCTGGTGCTGCTGATGTTGGGTTTGCTGATGGTGCTGCATTTGCTGCATTTGGTGAGCGGAGATCGTAACGGGACTGGGCGCTGACTGTGGACTGCAGCGATCCTCCAATGCCATCTGTGGGGTCTCTATCTCTGGGCTCGAACTCTAAATCACACACACAAGACACTTGTCACTTGAACACTTTGCTTCAGAGATTCACTTCTCGTCGTATGTTTGGTTTTGGTTTGGTTTGGTTTCGGATTTGGATTTGGTCTTGCTTTTTCCTGTTCCGACACGCACGTCTGTTCACGTCCAGCGCAACGACTGAATTAGTTGGGAATCCCAGCGCAACGACTTCGTTGAGTCGGGGCGACGACGCGAGAGCCGATTGAACTGTCATGCGGGAAAGAGAGGCCTCTGGCAGGCGAGCGAGAGCGGTGGCTTATGCCGTATGCTAGAGCGGGAGAGCGATATATATCGTGCATGTGCATGTGTGTGCGTGTCTGTGTGAGTGACAGACAGGCCGCTGTGACAGTGACGAAGATGAGAGTCGAAGAGTGGAAAGTCTGATTCCACTGATCGATTTTTACTCTCTCACGAGGTTTGTCACCTGCCCCGCTCGAACCGGTTTCGCTCTCGCTCACTCTTTAGCTTCTTGCATGCTCTTACTCGCTCTCTAAGACTCGCTGACTCCCTCTCTCTCTCACTCGCTTTTAGCCAGACTCCCCCATTTTTCGCAAAGGGGGGAGCTTGTTAGGCGGCGATATGACTTTATTATGCGCGCTGAAGCTGTCAGGCGGTTGACAACTGTGTCGCCTGCGCCTGCGCCACTCTCTCACTCACGCCAACACATGCTGGCCCGCTCTGGCGGGGCGTTGCTTAGCTTGGGTGATAATATAGCGACACTGCTCGCTCCCACGGGTGGCAAGCTAGGAAAATGGCTGCCTGGTGGCAGTGGTAAGAGCAGGGCACTCACTCCTCTGTAATACGGCCATCTCTTTCGGCGGACACTCTTCATAAAAGCATTTAGTTTTTGTTGATTTTGTTTTTGGCCGCGACGTTTCAATCGGCGTTTTCAACAGCCTACAACTTTATTGACACCACCTTTTAGCCGAAGCGAGGGAGGAAGAGGAGGTGGAGGTGGAGTGGAAACCACAAGCTGCGGCCACTAATTGTTATAATTTGAATGCGAGTTTCCAATATTCCCAACCTTCCAGCATTCCCATCCCCATCCACAACCTTCCCATGCCCCCCTAAATAATCATTTGCTTTTGGATTTTGTTTGTTTTTCACAAAAAAACACGCGTAATTCAACCAATTAAACGGTTAAATGTGCCGCGAAAAAGCAGCTGACGCAATTGATTGATATTTAATTGATTTTTAATTTATTTATTTGCCTGCCCATCGAATATCAATTTACAGAAAGTCGAATAGAAAAAAAAGAGCCAACGCTAACTGTCAAAATAAACTTGGTGAGGTGTTAAAAATGAACGCCATTTGGCATTGGGACATTAACAATAGAGCTTATTTTTGAAGGGGGGCTCTAATCAAATGCCTGAGATCTACAAATGTGAAACATGTGCTGGGGAATCCGACCATATAGCCACTGATATATGGCACATAAATCAGGCAAAGTCCAATAGCCAAAATCGCTAATGAATTGCCTTTTCGACGGTGCTTCAGCCTGGGTATTTGTTGTGTTAATTTCTGCATAATCATAAAAAAGCGATCATGGTGTGGGCTTCTGATTTACGGATCTCTTGGGTTTTATTTTTTTAATTTTATAATTATTAATTAGAGGTAATCTTTCAAGAACCACTCCCACTTATTTCCTGCTGGCCAAAAATCCAACCGAGTGACATAATCTCCCCCCTCAAACCGATATTTTGTCAATAAACTAACGCCCAGACGACAAACACACAATGAGTGCTTATCGATCGTATTTGGAGCACATTTTTGGTGCGAAACCTGTTATAAATCCCAAATTTATATGCCATTTTTATGCGCATTTTTATTAGCAATCGAGTGGAGCTTGAAAATAAATTAATAATTTAATAATGAATTAAATGGAATAACTTAGACGTTTGTTGTTGAAGAGAGGCCCTAACCGTTCCCGTTTCGAATTTAACCGGTTCGAAACGCACCCCTTCCAGCTGTGCGGCCATTAAAATTCGAAATTGGAAAAACTGGAAATTGGAAACTGGAAGGCCAGCGCTCTCCCTCTCTCTCTCTCTCTTATTCTCTCTGGCGGCTGGCTGCCTTTCCCCTCCAAAATTTTCGAACTCGGCCAGTTCTCTATGGCCATCCCTTTCTCTCTGCCTAGGGTGTCTCTCTCTCTCTCTCTCGTGCTGGCCACCCTGCTCTCTCACGCATGACAACAATGGCTGCTGCCATCACTCCCTCTCTCTCACACTCTCTCTCGTTCTGAGCCCGTCGGCAGCTGTTGATTTTTCCGCTCAACTTCCAAGCACCCTTTCCCGTCCCCACCCCCTGCCCTTTCCCATAGCACTTTCCGCTTTGATTGCCATGATTTTCAATTATTACCGTTGTCATGTTTGCTCAGCATTTGGCCACAATGGCAGAAGGGGTTAAACCAAACCAGCCGCCGACAGTTGCGTAAAAATGCGTTAATTAAAGTTTTCAACTTGTTTCTGTTGTTGTGGCTGCTGCTGCTGCTGCTGCTGTTGTTGTTACTTTCCCGTTTGCCCTTAATGATAATGATGCCTCCGTGTCCGTCTGTTTGGATAAAATGGTAACTGCTAATGAGCTTTGCCTTTCCACCACAATTTTTGGCTACTGTTTTCGGTTTCTAGTTTTTTTTTATTATTATTATTCATCTTCGTTTTCGGTTACTTTAGATTTGTTGTATTCCCTTTTTTTTTTCTCGGTCGCTAATGATTCTTGCGCTAAAGGCAAAACAAAAGACTCGAGCAACAAACTTGTCAGAGTGTTAAGAAAGAACAAGAAGAAACATGCACAGATCACATGGGAATTGTTCATTTGAAAAATGAATAAGATGAATTTTAGAAATAAATAATTGGGTGAACTTATAGTTAAAAGTATTTTTTGAAATTACTTCTCAACAATAAGAGATAGACAATTTCTAATATGTTTATATTTAAATTAAATTAAATTTAAAAAATGAATTTAATATTCAAGACATTAATATTTTGTTAAGAAGTAATAATGTAGTTGGTAAATATATTTTAAAAATATAACTATTAGACAGGAATACATTCCAATATGTTGAAATTTACTTTGTTTTAGAAGTCATTTTAATTATATGTCTTTTCCTAATTTAAGACTAAGTAAAATCAATACAAATATTCCCAAAATATACATATATTATTATCAGATCCAAAAAAAACAGCATTAATATGACTTTCTCCCAAATACAGTTCAATAAAATCTCAATTGCATAAGGGTCTTGATCACTGTCTGTCTACAACTCAATTGTCAAAACTGGAAATGAAATTAAAACTGGTGTTGAGGAAAAAACTGGTCGCCTTGTAGGGCTGCTGCATTACCTCTTCTACCTCCTCAACTCCCTGATAATTTCTCAGGTGAAACTGGAAACCCAAAACCGAGGCTGGTTAATTTAAAATTCATATTTTACGCAGCCAAATGCGTAAATCCGTGTGCTTGGTGCTGTGCTGAGTGCCGGCGAGCGGCGATTCCCGATAATTAATGGCCGCACATGGGAGTCCGTCCATAATATACTCGTACTCGCCACTCGCACTTTAGCTCACTCTTCTGAGATTTTCACTCTGTCTCACTCATTTGCATACCCTGCAATACCCGAGAGCTATATGCTCCTTCTGGGAACTATTTGGATATAGAGTTACCACACGTAATTGGAGCCAGCGATGGGATGAAGCGATATGGCAGAGGTTAACACAGGAATTAATGGGGAAAGTGCGCCACTTAGGAGGATAAAAGGTTTCCGTCGAGAGACACTCGATATGGTGTCAGAAGATGATTTATATATTGGAAGTGCTAAGGGATCTACTAATCTAGATGAAGATTTGAATTATTGTTTCTATATATTCTACAAGTGATATATTAGGAAATATTTTGATATATTTTAAACGGAAGTTGTATCTTATAAAAGAGAGGTTTTGATTTAGAAGAGCTTAAGAATTTCGTATAAAAACTAGTATATTAATTTACTAAATAAAAAATAAAGAAACAACTATAGGAACTCTCTTAGGTCCTATGAATTTTAAAAGTTTCTTTGCAAGTATAAAGAATTTATTATAGAAGCCATCATAAATTGTATTTTCTATCTGTATTTGAAATTCTGCAATTTCTTAGCTACTTTATAGACTTAAATACATTTTATATATATATTTTAAAACATATTTCTAAACGGAATCATATTCTTTTATGAGTATAGAGTATAGTTTTATTTTAAAATAAAATCCTCCAAATTATTAAACTCCAAAACTAAGGCACTTATAATAAATATCTTCCTCATGATAGCTCATTTTTTTAATATTTTCTCAACCTTTACTGTTCCAAATTAGAGTATTTCCAAGCTGACTTCTTTGTTCGTTTCTCTTTAAGCTTTCCACTTGGATCTTTAATTAAAATTTAACTCCACCATCTGGGCTCTACCTTCACTTTACTCGTCTTGTGACTGGCATCACTTCCACCTCCTGTGCTGACCCAGCTTCTCCAGCTTTCAGCTCCAAAACTGAGCTTCCTCCCCACCGTCCGGGCCCGGGAATACGCACAATGCCTCAGGGCTTAAAACAATTTTTAATTTGTTAAAAATACATTTTTTTGTTGTATTTTTTTGTAAACTGCTCATTCGTTGAGTTGTCGCCTTTGGTTGTTTTTTATCAAGACTGTTGTTGGGCTTGCTTCACGTCGTACGTTTAGGGTTAAATGTTAATGAACTTGTTGATTATAAATTTGACTACTTTATTTGAGCAGAGAAAATAGCCAGGCCCAGACACAGTCCAGGGCTAATAGATTAGCCAAACGAGTTTCATATTTATTATTGCCGAATTTATATAGTTTTTGTTTATTAATTTCTATATATACAAGCTAAGAGAGAGAGAAGCTCCAACTCGAGTCGTAAGAATTTTATGACTTCATCTGGCCAGATTTGCATGAGTCTCTCTCTGACTTGTTTTTCGATCAATTAGCCAAGTCAGAGTTTTTGGCCAGTTAATTTCCGCTGCACGTTGCCACCACACAAAGGCTGTAATTTGTTTAATTTGTTTGCCACTCGCCGCAAATGGTTTTTCTCAGCTAATTTGTCAATTTGAGCGAAGCTTGTTAGCTTGTCCAGCTATT